TTTCTTCATAAATCTAATAAAACAAATTTCAAAGAAATTCATTAAGAAACTTGTTCAAAAATACAATTTAAAGCAATCTAGAAGCGTTATTTATCTCTAATTATTAAACATAGATTTTAATTACAGGATTAAATTAAAAACGAATAAAAAAATAAAAGAAATAAAATATCTTTAAATCAAATCAATAAAAAGAGAGCACTTAATATTAAAGATAATTAAAATTAAACATTATATAACAAATTTACATTATACAATATCATTCATAAAAGATCTTTATTAGCTTCTTCTAAGCTCTTAAAGATCTGAGGGAGGTATTGTAGCGATTGTTGAATAACCATAAGGAAATACTAATGCAACAACAACTTCATGAAGCCCTACATATGTTCTCATGAAGAACAATTAAGAAAAGGATTTCATAAAGATCAAATCCAAGAAAATTAATAATAACTGAGATGACAAAAGGATTTGATAAATATCAAATCCAAGAAAATTAATAAAGACTGAGATGACTTAGCGAAAATGCTCTAAAAGAAAATTCTAAAGAGCTACTAAGACTTACATATAAGGCTTCACATTTTAGAATTAGTATAAAAGACGCGACTTGACTTAGAAGCGTCGAGTAATTTTTAGACATTCAAATAATTGTCACTAAGGAAAGGAATAATAAAAAGTGGAGGGACCACAAAGTGACTGTGTTTGAATTGTAGTTTGAATTAGTAGATAATATATAGCGTCATAAACGCTAATGAAGAGTTAAGAGGAAGAGAAGTATTTAACATCGCAAACGCAATACGAGATAAGAGATATGTGAGTTTTGTATGTTAATCGCAATCCATGATGAATTGAGAGTGAGAAGAATGTCAAATGAAATTTGAGTATCTTGCAAGTGAAATGTGAGGATTAAATGTTTTTTTGTAGGATTGCATGACGTGTGTGAGAGAAAAAGTGATCGTTGAGGATCATTCTCGTTGCATGTGTGAAGATAAGGAATTTTCTTTGTGTAATAATCGTGTTGTGTGGGAATGTCAAAAGCAAGATGAATCAATCCCAGTTCAAAACTTATTTTCTTCTTATCATATTATTTTTTTTTTAACATTTGCAATACCATTTCTGATCATTTGTAAGAAATTTGATCTGCATTTATAATAATAAAGACTTTTTTTTTCTATTAAATTTCAAACTTTTTATTTTTCTTTTTATTATATTAAG